CCGACACCTCTTTCTGTCGGGACTTCTCGCAATACTGGCAGCCTCGACACACTTACTTCCAAGTGTGCTGCCTTTGACAAGTACTCCCGTAACTCCACACTGGTTATCTAGCTTATCCTCGGGCCCGTTGCTAGCTGCCTCTGCTTGGGATAGAACGGGAGTCCCGATGCCTTTAAAAGCAACTAACGCGCCTAAATAGCTTTCGATTGGTGGGGGTTTATCGCTGTCGTGGTTAGCCCTTGTTCTCTGCCCTTCGAAGTCAGCCTCGTGCTCTCTTTTAAGAGCTTTATTCTGTAGCGCTTTATCTAGCGCATTCTGCTCAATATTTTGTCGACAGGCGTCAACCTGTAGCGCCTTACGACTCGACTTGTCAAACTCTTTTTGATGCGATGCATCTGGATCATGTGTGCTGTGAAGCGGCTCCGTCTCTAGCGCTTCGCGATGCGCCTCGGCGTCCTTAGCCGTGCGATGGACCTCGGCCCCTAACTCCTCGCGGTGCACCTCAGCGTCACGCTCTCTCTGGCGCACTTCGGCGGCTTGTGCTTCGCGACGGGTCTCAGCCTCCATAGCTTTTCGGCATGCCTTATCTTTACGCGCTTCTCGACGCGCTTCTAGTTCTAGCGCTCTTCGGCGAGCCTCGTTTTCACGCGCCTCCACCTCCATCGCCTTACGCCGCGCCTCATCTCGCTCTCTCTGACACACGTTGGCGTCCTGCGCTTTGCGATGGGTCTCAATTTCTAGTGCTTTGCTGCACGCTTCAGCGCTGTACTTGTATGCTCGACTTTCACAGTCGGCAGTACTCATAGCAGCAAAGTGGCGGAACAAAGCGTATTTAATCCTATCAAAGTCATTCGCTTCCTCGGCGGATAAGCACCCCAAAACGCTTGCGACTTTGCACGGAAGCAACGTGGCAAGCTTTTCCCACCATAAGTCTCGCCCAACACCAACATCGTCGCAGACCTCTTCAAAATTAACGAGAAAAGACACGATGTTCTCGTCCATTCTGAAGAGTTCAAGTCGGTATTGTGCTCGTTGCCACTTAATCGCTTCAATTTGACGATCAAGCTCCTTCATTCGGAGAGCATGCTCTCTCCTTTTGCGACTCTCTTCGGCCTTCCATTGTTTGTGCCTTTGAGCTTCTTCGGCCTTCCGTTTTTCGTGCCTTTGAGCTTCTTCGGCCTTCTGCTTTTGCCCACAAATAAGCTCCCAAAACTCGTCAGCTTCCTCAGCCGTCACATTCTCTGCCCGCATCACCTCGAGAATCGCTTCCCTTGTTTTAGCGGACCCGGTGGAAATCCCCATGGCTCGACAAATTTCGAGGAGGTCCTGCACCAGGTACTGCTCCATCGTGATCTCGTTTCTCGTGATGCTCTGCTATTGATATTCACCGTACTCTAAAGCTAATCTCATGGTTTAGAGCACGTGAATAATAAATTACAACCAACCAAACACAAAATGCTCTCCTAACATCTGCCTGTGCTAAAGAGGTCTGGCGAAGTGAACAGTAAACGTTGGGCACTCACCCAACCAAAGTAGCCGACGATGGTCCAACCCGTGGCTGCCTTCGAACAGTGCCGTGGGTGTCGTCAGGCCTGCAGGGATCCGGTCCAACTTGCCAAAGTTGAGATCCGGGGTTGCTTGTCCCAGCTTGCCGAACGATGAGAACAGGGTAGCGTATCGCAGCGTAGCCAAACGCTATCACGGCGGTCGTCCTCGTGCTCGGAGATCCAATCCAACTTTTCAGCCGTTGAGATCGGGGTAGCGGGTCCCAGAGCAGCAAAACGTTGAGGACAGGGGTCTGATCCGGCGTGCCAAACGTAGGATATCGTATCCCGAAGCTGCCAACCACTGTTACGAATTTGCTCTGTCGTGATGGTAGCGGTGGCGAAGAACGGCGAGCCGTCGAGCGGACTTCGATGAAGCCTTAGCCCGAAGGTGAAACAGGGAAGCAATCCGTTTGGAAAACAGCAACAAAAGTAGCGTTTACTGTAGCAGGTTGTCGTTTTACAGAGCCGGCCAGCCCGACAACGTCGGCTGGGGCAAAATCTTCTAACATGGGGCCGGCTCGGCCTTAAATAGCGTCTTTGGTCCATTCTCTAAGACCAGTTCTCGGGCTCGGAGGGGGAGACGTAGCCATACCCGGAACTGCAAAGTGGGCCGGCGGAGGAAACGACGTTATCCCCAGACTGCATGGTTCTTCTGCACGGAAGGCGGCGCTGGGAGGGGGGGGGGGGGAGACAGTTCGTCGAAACAGGGCTCGATCCTGCGAGACGCGCTCCCGAACGAGGAACATGTCTGTGGCACAACAATACATAGGCGTCGCTACTTATTGGGCATCTTAAACAGATGGATGTTCGCCAGTGGCGTAGCCAGGGGGTAGAACACCGTATCCCCACACCCCCACTCTACGAAAAAAAAATTTACCGTCTTTGGGCTATCCGGCAAGCCGAAGATGCCGCCCGGGTCCAAGGACTTCGAGTGGTCACCTGAGGCACCGCCATCATAATCGACAGACGGTGGGAAGGGACAGATGTTAATCCCTTCTTCCCCCACTTCACCCGGAAGGAACTACCGGATTTCGAATAAAGTTTATTTATTCATTCATACGCCATAGCACAGACCATAAAATAACATTTGACCGCATCTGTCTGTCCAGACTCCACTTCAAAGTAATGCCCCTCCCCCCCCCCCCCTCCAGAAACAATTGCGTCTGCCTCTGATGCTCGTGTCAGTAAAGCGGTCACACTCGTGTGACGCGCCTACAGGCAGCAATGGGGTATATAATCTTGAGCCAGTCAGTGCAGCACTGCAGTGCGTTCCCTTTCTATGAACTCAATTACACACTAGCTCATGTAGTTTGGGCAAAATTAGATATGTTTTTCCGTGGACCTGCGGCTCGTCTTTTCTTTGTCTCATCCGGCTTCCATTTTCCTGATACGCGCTTGCCGGTATTTTCATTGTGAGAATTAATGGCGCTACCTACGCCGTTTCTTCCTGTACGAGAATCGCGTAGCGTGCATTCTTCGCCGTGCGAAGCCGCGTATAGCTTCATAACCTTTTCTCTAACGTCGTGACGCGAGCCACCAACAGCAGTTCCGAGCATCCCACGTAAACTGCAGCTAGCGCGCATAAGAACGTTACGGTTAGTGTCCGCCGTTTCGACGTATCCCTGTTGCCACGCTTCGTAAATTGCGCATGCGCCACTGGTATATATGGCGTATGTAGTACAACGAAATCAGTGCCATGCGCAAGTAGGGATGATGTCCACACGAGCATCCTAGCATTTACCGCATACATTCAGCGTGCGGTTGCGGTTTGCTTTCGTCCCTTAAAACAATGGTACGTCACACGTACAAAATGCTGCGAAGTATGTACGTCACTACATTCCACGGCGTACGCAGAAGTACTTCGACCTTACCTTTCTGCATTGATATGACATGCCTTGAGAATTGGTCACGCTCGTAAAACGATACGGCAGCTCTCAGGTGTACCATTCTGCTGCGTAGCACCTTTCTTTTTTTTCTGCCTCAAAAGGACGTGTGCATTGAAGCGATAATTTATTGCTCCGATTATTCAACTTAAAGCAACCACATGTTTACTGGCGGCACACCCATGTACACTGTCGTCCTTTATGAAAGGGAACACGTGAACGAGTGGCCTGCGCTCTGCGGCGGCTGCCTATCAGCGGAACTGCTAAAAGACGCAAAAGGAAACACGTTCGCTTTCAGCATCATCTGATGCCGAGTTATGGCCGGTAGACAAGCGCTGCTGTATTGCACTCTCTTTGCTCACGCCTGCAGTACGTGCGTAGTCCATTGCCAACATATCAAACGTTGTTCGCGACCACGGCGCAATCTGCACTGATCGCCCGATATCGCTCGCCGCGCGAGCAATCGGGGAACGTAATCTAGCAGAGCTTGTTTACTGGCCACAACTCGTTATCTTGCTTGGCCATAGATGACGCTGAAATCGAACGTGTTTCTTTAGCCCTCGGTTGATGGTATTGTAAGCAGCCGCCACAGAGGGCAGGCCACGCGTTCGCGTGTTCTCTTTCATAAAGAACGACAGTTGGCATATAGCGGAGTTGAACATATATGCTTATTGTAGATCCACGCGAATGGATGGGTCGTGTCACTATTGATATCATGCTAATGGTGACACAAGTGTGTTTATTGGGAGTTCCGGCCATGTTGCCGCTTGTATTTGATGGAGGCGAAAATGCTTCAGGTCCATGTATCTATAGGCTTAGGTGCACGTTGAAGAACCAAAGGTGATCGAACGTTCTGAAGCCTTCCACTGTATACGCCGTCTACAAGATTTGCGACGACAAACCAAACAATTACTCTCTATTTTCAAGAGAGGGGCCACCAGTCAAGCTACCTTTGAGCAGCTTTTATCCCGTCATCCTTGCTATTTATGCATGTTGTGTACACAAGTGGCAATAGCTTCATTTGAAAGCGTCAAATGCCAGTGTACAGACAGTCTTCAAAGTGTAAATAGTCCCATTGTGCTATAATACACTACGTCAATTTTTTCGAAGCCATTAAAACATCAACAAAACATTTGAAAAGGTGCTCATTTGTTAATGACGAGCTCAAGGTTCAAGGGTTGCAATATGGGCTTCCTGGTGAGTCACTTAAACAGCTTTCACGTAAGGCGAAGCATCGCACGGACATGAGAAGGTACAAATGGTGATGTTGATGTGGGTAGAAGCGCACGGGACTTCTCGAAATTTTAGAGTACAAATGTCACGAGTTTTGTTTTTTTTTTTTGTTTTCAAACGTGAAAGTTGTCATCTTTGCAACATAGCCCCTTGTTTCCCTCACACAGCAGCTGGCTGACGTGTCACTTTATAAATTTTTCGTCCACACTATCCATTTATCACAAAAGTTCAACGTTCGAACATTTCCTGTGGCCCGTAGCGACAAACGTCCTAGAGTGATCGATAAACGGCGTAGCTTACCCATGTTCATCAACTCGGTGTGCGTCTGCTTTCTCAGGATGAACGTGAAGGACTCGTACAGCTGGATCCTGCCGGACCGGGACCCACGAGTCGAAGGATGGGTGCTCATCGGAAGCCCCGTGGCTGTGACCACGGTTCTCGCGTGCTACGCTTACTTCGTCAAGATTTGGGGGCCGCGCATGATGAAGAACGCAAAGCCGTTCGAGCTGCGCAAGACCATCTTGTGCTACAACGCCGCCATGGTGTTGGCGAACCTGGCGATAGCAACGCGCGTGGGATACTACGCCTTTGTCACGGGCCACTATGACCTCTTCCTCCAGGGTCCGGATCTGTCCACTAGACCAACTACTATGATTCTGCTTCAGGTAAGCGTTCGACTTAACGCCTGCGTACACTTTTTTTCTTTGGGGAGAAAGGGGGGGGGGGGGCATTTTTTCTGGTGCGAATGTAAGGGGTCCAACAAAAGTAAGTTTGCGTGGGAAAGAGAAAGGCAAAGAAAACGCAGGGAGGTTAACCAGGTTGGACCCGGTTCGCTACCCTACACGGGAGAATGGCAGAAAGAGAGAAACGAAGGACGGAGGAAAGCGCTTCCATGCATGAGAATTCAAGGGCGGAAAACTGAAGTTTGAAAATAGTTAGGCTGTGTGAGCTCAGTGCAGTATTCATATACCGTCGGGAATTCTCACAAATTTTATTTATTTAAAGTTTTTTACACCATATTTCGACTTTAAAGCACACTTAGCAATGTCTAATCTTCTACCGTGCCATGTTGTACGACAATAAAAAATGGGCTACTTTTCCAATGCTACGGTCACTGCTGAATATTCGAACGTTACTCTTTAGGTTCTTCGGGCAATCAGATGCCGTAAATTTCCTATAGCACCTATGGGTGTGTACTTCACTCTCTTGGTTTCATATTTTTATAAACTACCAACATTCCCCAAGATACCCACATTTCAGTGCGACACCGAGGACGGCAGCACTTGCGCAGTATTTTCTCGTGTTATGTATTCTGCCGATGTGTTAAGCGCGGCGACAGGCACGCCAAGGTGATGACACGTCTATAATGTCCATGACAGTAGCCCGATCCCAACAATGATTCCTACTTTTACGTGCAGGTTTCGTGGTGGTACCTGGTGCTGCGGCTATTGTCCGAGTGCATCGAGACGGTGTTTTTCGTGCTGCGCAAGAAGTTCAACCAAGTGAGCGGCCTGCACGTCTTCCACCACGTGTCCGTGTCTTCTGCACGTACTTCTACATCACCTACGGCGGCTTCTCCATCGCCTGCTTCGAGACGGTGTTTAACTCGAGCGTGCACGTGATCATGTACGCCTACTACTTCCTCGCCGCCCTGGGACCTGAGGTGCAGCGTCACCTGTGGTGGAAGCGCTACTTGACCCGGCTGCAGCTCGTCCAGTTCATCGTCATGATCGTGCGCAACGTGTGCCTCGTCTTCACACTTGGCGTGCCTTACTTCTCGCTGCCGCTGTTCATGCTCTCGCAGTGTCTCATCTTCTTCATTCAGTTCCTCAGCTTCTACATCCGCTCGTACAAGTCCAACGCCGTGCGACTCGTCAAGTGCGGCGGTTCCTCGCAAGACGAGCACTGGAAGGTCGAGCGAGTGAAGGCTCAGTGAGAAATATCTTGTCACACGACGACGCAAGCGCGCATGCCGATCAAAACTCGTCCGTCAAACACCAGCACGCGAACGTTTCGTTGGCGTCGATAAAGGGGGCAATGAATGACCTAGTTGTGGGTAGCGAAGCAGGCGCGGTGCGCTGGCTGCCTCTTTGAACACGCGACGTCGACCTTCCAACGTTTGCCAATTTGGACTGCCGTGGGCCCCAGCGCTCTGTGTGTGAAAGGCTTTGGCAGTCTAGTGACTTCGTAGTGCAAGTACAACGCGGTGACCTCTACAAGCAGGGGCGATGTGTGATGAATCTCGGAGTAGTTGTGCTCAGCGAGGCGCAGTATTGCGACGCACGGCCGAGGACGATGCTCATTTCATTGCCGTTGCCGATGTGTCGCGAGTGTGACGAGACGAAGTGGAGCCTCCTGTCTGCCTCCACGTCTGTGTGAAAAAGCGAACAAGGTCTTTCTGCGTCCACTAGAACTCTGACGAAAAGCCCAAGGACAGTGCCTTATGAATGTTCATTTTTTCGAGGCATTGATGCAGAAAGTGTTGCTTATTTATATCCTTTTCTGACATGTTCTTTAGAGATATGTATACCTAACACATTCATCAGTTGTCAACTGCGTCACCTCGACCACGTTCTGCCGCAGAACGCGAATCGACGAATACGTCCTGTAGAACGCCGCATCCACATTGGACTGCGGGATTTTGTAAATAGCCCGTAATAAACAATGCAATACGAGTATCTCAGGAGCTTGTGTAGTGCCTTACTTAATAGCCGCATGTTTCCAATTGACCTCGGTGGCGGATACTACCAAGTGGGCTGTCCATTTCAGCAAGCTGTGATTGGCTGTTTTTTGACAGAAAGAAAGCCAGCGCCAATCGTAACCAAGGGCTCCAATCTGAATTTTCTCCACGCATACCTAAATGTCTATAGTCAACTCTGCGTACTCTTAAAACAATAAAACCACTGGCTATTCGAGGATACGGTGACAGTGGTTATAGGATCTGGTTTTAATAAGCCCATAACATGGAAAAGTGCTGCAGCCGTTGCCGAATTCTCGTTGGTAAGTACTGCCGTTTTCTTTGCGGCTATTCTGTGTTTCCTGTGAACGGCGCCTCTAAAGGAAACAACGTCTCTGTGTGTTGACATAACCAACCTAAGTGAACCTTTTAAAGTGACTTAAAAAGCGCTATGCACGTCTTTAAAAGGGGTGCAAAACTTTTTTTAAATCACTCTACTATTATCTTTTTTTTTGTGTGTGTGAGGTTCGGGTATAGTGAATTAGAAGTTAGAATTACGGTTGGTGCATCTGTATTGGATTGAATGATCATGGCCCCGCTGCGGTGGTCTAGTTGCTAAGATACTCGGCTGCTGATCCACAGGTCGTGGGATCGAAACCCGGCTGTATTTTCGATGGAGCCCAAAGTCTTTGTTCTCTGTATGCTTAGATTTAGGTGAACATTTAAAGAACCACAGGTGGTCGAAATTTCTAAAGCCCTCCACTACAGCGTCTCTCAATCGTATATTGGTTTTGGGACGTTATAAACAAACAATAACTATTCTTAAGTGAAGATAATGTTCTTTCTAAAAAAAAAAACCAAGTGCAGACGTGAACACAAGATCTCGCGACACCATCAATGGTGTTTGGGTGTCTTGACTTCTTCCTGGTGTCCGAGTTCGTGCGCCCAGTTCTTTAGATTTAATGCTCGCCATCTAGCTTCACTCTATGTTATTTTGGTGGCGATATGACGCAGAGTGCAGCTCGAGTTCGAAACTCAACCTGCACGAGTTAAGAGCAACTGCGCGCCGTTATAATGCTTGTAGAGTCAATAGTATTACTTCAAATCAATACTTAAAGTATGTGGGGATCATAAACATAAGAAGCGCTGATACTTTGTAAAAGACCACAGCGTCATTATCCGTCGGCATTCAGTGCTCTGTTTGAAAGCATTCTGTCAATAAATGCTTATTTAAAGGACATTTCTAATGGAGAGAAAGAGAGAGAGAGAGATATGGTATGCGGTAAGGCAGGGATGTTAACTGGAGGGGGGAAGCAACAAAAGGGAGAAAGGCAGGGAGGTTAACCATAAAAATATCCGGTTGGCTACCCTACGCTGGGGGGTTAGGGAAGGGGACAAAGATGGAAGAGAAAGAAAAGAAATAGGATAGAGACAGACAGGGAATTCACTGCAGCGTGTAGAACTACACCGCAAGTCAGAGGCGTTCGCACAAACCCGTCTTCCTCAAGAAACACAAGAGAGCTTTGTTACCGTGCACTGGGGAAGTGGTAAGGGCAGACGTAGAATTAAATAGTATGTGAATGAGTGATGCACGGAGGTAAATAGAAACACACACAGAGAAACGTCATAATCGTTAGACCCAGGTGAATCGCTCGTAAAAACTTAAAAAGCAAGGAAAACGTCAGCACAAATACGCCAGAAAACCGTGCACGAAGTGTTAAAGGTTTCTAACCGCACATATGTGCTACGGGTCACATCGTCACGTGAGACAATAAGCAAAAGCTGCTCCAAAGTGACGGGTAGCTGTGCATGTAGTGCAAGCCGTGCTTTTGCACAACGTGTATACCTTTATTTTCTCCTACACTGCGCAGCATAGTGAAAACTTACGAATACACTGAACGCTCCACGTTTAAACGCTATTTTTGAGTGGTATGCTTGGCTGGCAATGTGTTAGGTACATTAGGAATGGTTGTATTTTATGTCACTCTGCAATTAGGCACATCAGCGGCGAATAACATTGATAGCTTTTGCGAAGCTGACTGTCTGTCTGATTGTTACGTGCGACGTGAATTCGACGCCATGGATTTACAAATCGCACAGCTAATCACACAACGTTGACTAAAGTAGCAGTCCCAGCCACGTCGTATGACACTGCACGATAGTATTTGTGGACCGCGTATTCGTGTGCACCTTTGATTGCGAACAATGTTCAGCTGGCGTGCCTTGAAACTCACTCGATCACTGTTTCGTGTTTATGTTCTGTTCAGTAAATGCAATAATTTTAGTTTACTTGTTTCGTTTCATCAGGAGCACCCGTTAAAATTAATATTATATTTTATTAATATTATTATCATGTAAAATCAGCCAGATGAAGAGAGAGAGAAAAAAAAGGGGGGGGGGGGCCTCAAGCTTCGCGTTTTTAGGAGTTTAACGCGATAGCGATATCCTGTTCCTAGTACGTACTTCAAACGGTTAGTGCATGAAACCTTTTTGAACTTGCTATGCACCTACTACGTGGCCTTAAGAGAGTAGCCGCAGTAACGTGTGTGCCGTTTGTGGTGAATGACTGCCTTTAAACCATATAGTCATCATGATGATCACATGTTCTGACGCCCTTTACCAATTTCCGCATGCACCACGCATTAATGCTGTGATATGATTGATATGACAACAGAATTTTAAAGTCCCAAAGCCACCATATGATTAGTAGAGATGCCGTGGTGGAGGGCACCGGAAATTTCAACCACCTAGGTTTTTTTTTAACGTGCACGCAAATTTGTGCACATGGGCCTTCAACATTTTCGCCTCTGCCGAAAAGGCAGCCGCCGCAGTGGGGATTCGATTCCGCGACCTGCTTGTCAGCAGCCGCGTACATTAGCCACTAGACAGCCGCGGCGGGACAATGCTGTGGTATTCCACGTTGACGCGTGTGCTTGCAAAGCAGGAGAGTTAATTTCACTGCATTTCCAAGCAGATCAAGTCGATTTCGTTGTATTTATAAGCAGATGCATGAATGTGTGGTAAAACATATGCTTGCCATGCAAATGCCCCACCCCGGTGGTCTAGTGGCTAAGGTACTCGGCTGCTGACCCGCAGGTCACGGGATCAAATCCCGGCTGTGGTGGCTGCATTTCCGATGGAGGCAGAAATGTTGTAGGCCCGTGTGCTCAGTTTTGGGTGCACGCTAAAGAACCCCAGGTGGTCGAAATTTCCGGAGCCCTCCACTACGGCGTCTCTCATAATCATATAGTGGTTTTGGGACGTTAAACCCCACAAATCAATCATTCAATCAATCAATCAAGCTTGCCATGCAAATGACCCGGGTTCAGTGCCCACTGGTAATCATAAATTTTTATTATTTATTTTACTTGCATTCTTTTCAATTTCTCGGTCACGCACAAGATGTCAATTTTTCGCTCACAACCAGAGACACCGACCCCAACACCGGCTGTGGAATTTCTGATAACCGAGCTCTTCAACGCTATCGCGTTAGAAGCGGCATATGCTGACGCGAACGTGCGTGAAGTATTCGAAAGCTTATTGCATATTAAAATATTTCTTATCAAACTGATTTGTTCACGATTGACTAGGCCACTCAACTATGTAGTTGTGTGGGCGTATTTACTCACCCTAAACTACTAATTAGAGTGGGATAAAGATTGCAAGAGGAGAGCGGTGTTCAGAGCCCCTGACGTGGCCGGTGGCCTTTCAAAGTCAGTTCGATCGTAAAAGGCCAGCAAGCAGGCTCTGATTTTTTTTTCTTTAACATCCCTCACACAAGCTCTCCAATTCGTAAAGTATAGTACGAGGCCATCACATTTTCCGAATATTGAGGCGCGCATAGACCGCCCATTTCGAAAAACAATGCCCGTGCCCGCTTCCTTCCGACCAATCCCACACGTACGCGCAGTGACGCAGGCTTAACTATGAGCAACTTGACGTACCATTGCGCTCGTTGATTGGGCCTTTGCCCTACGAAATGGCGCTTCGGCCAAGCGGTAATGCAATTTCGGCCAGTGCAGCCCACATTTACATTTTCCTATTCTGCACTGCGCCATTTTTAGAGCCCGAAATCTACCGGGAAGAAATGGTACTGCCATAACAAAAGCCTTCGGGATAAAGAAGCGTCTTGCTACTTTACCTTGAATCACGCCTCCCTCCCGCTTCACAATATCACGTGCTCATGTCGGGGATGCCCTGCTCGGTCGTTCACTGCGCGCTGATGACGTACGCTGACGTCGGGTGACGTTGCAAAGTGGGTGGAGTCGTGACAAGGGCTACACCTTTGTCCTCTCTATGGCGGAGAAGGGTGGCGAAGTCACGCAAAAGTTTTAACCCTGCTGAATTGGATGTTACAACCACTGGAACTTCCTTATTTTAGCACGCATTCACAAAATTCTTGCGGCAGCATGTTCCCTTAGCACAAACGTGCATATTTCTCTTCATAACGATTTTTGGACCTCGGGGTTGTTTACTGCCCCTTTAAGTGAGAAGAGCCACGATACGAGAAGCGTGGGAATGGAGAGCGGGTAAGCGAAGTGTGCACAGAAGGCCAGACAAACGCTGTGTAGGGTGATCATGCTCGAGGAGATGTCGTAACAGAATCCTAAATGGGGGGCTCCCTTAAGCCCACAACGTGTGTTTTGGCCCGCAGACGGGAACTCTCGAAGACACCAGACACAATTCAGAAACATAGTTTTGCGACTGAAGGTGGGGTGTTTCCAAGGCCCATCTTATATGCAGTTTCGCTAATTTGGCTTCGTTTGCAGAATAAACAGAGATCGAAACTATACAAATAGAATAAGAAAAATGACAGCGTATCCACGGGGTGAATGATGGAGAGTGGGGCGAAGCTGGTCCGCACGTCACTGTCACGCCGCTTCGGCCTCCCGTTGTCGTACTGCCGGGTCCTCGCGGCTCCGCCACGCAGCTTTGCGGCGCGCTTCTGCCTCGCACGCCTGCACGTCAGGGTCCCTTCTTCGAGCGTGAGCCGCCGCCGCCCTGCGCGCACGCATCTCAGCAGCCTTGTCTATCCTCCGTCGCCGAGCCTCTGAATGCGCACGCGAGCCAATACGGTGCTTTTACTGTGCTATAGAGGGCACCCTGGCGTACGGCGCCGCCGAAGAACACGCAATCGTAGTCGCGCGATCGTCTCTCTCCTTTCATACGCGTGACGTAAATTCTTCTTTTTTACAAGTAACGCTCTCTTGTGTCGTGCCATTTGAATGTTTCCCCGTATAGTACAAGTACTGCCCTCTATGACCAGTTCAATAATTATCGAGGGGTAGTTAGCCACAAAGGGGACGCACAAGCCACGCCATAAGGAGCTTCACCTCTAAAACCAAGCTGAAATGTCGAGGCGTGTACTCAACTGGTGCTCGGATGGAATAAAGCTATGGACCATCTCCCCGAAGAGAGCCCTGATGAAATGCGAAGCAGCAGTAGTGCGCATGGCGTTGACCCAGTTGAAATGGACTTCAACGCGGGTGCTGGAATAAATGTTTGAAGCAAAACTTAGTGTAGCAATTACTCGAGTAAAGGTTTACTTGACACGGAGACACAGGAGGCGGGTTGGGTTTGATAGCAGAGAAACGATCGAAAAGAGCATTACCACTCGACGTACGGTCGAGCGTTGCAGGCGTCGGAGTGTTTGTAGTGAGAGAGAAGTGCGTTGCCAGTGGGTAGAGGAGCCGGCAGCTGCGGGCGCTGTGGCGAGCGTGCTGCAGATGAGGGAGAGAATGACATCAGCACGCACCTGTCTGAGAAGCTTGCGAGGGGAGCGTGACGCCAACGCACAGCTGCGGCGTGACCTACTTGGCACCGCTCCAACACCTACGGCGAGGAGAACGCGTTGTCATGCGTTCGTAAGGACGCACGTACGTACGGTGTTACACGCGTGAGTCAAACAGCTGCTTCGTATCTAATAATGAAGCAGTCAAGAGCATGCTTTTGCGGTCTTATCTGGGTCGACATGATATTTATTGGTGACCTGATTCGAGTGCTAGGGCTATACTCTGCATCTGTCGTTGCGATGACACAGTTGTAAGCGAACTCATTGACGTCAGAAACACAGGAATTGAAATTGAGGCACAGATAACAGGCGCACCGCGTCTCGAAAAATTTACACGTTCATACAGAGTGCAATGTTACTCGGACGTAGATTTTCCTTTTTTAAGTGGAAAGCGCCTGTTACCACGTTATATGTCCCAGTATTGTCGACGCGTCTCATCACTAACCATAGCTGAACCATGGTCCCTCAATGGCTGAACTAATAGAAATTATCACATCGTATGAAAACTAGATAAATGTGTAACAAGAATTCAGAACAAGCAGGAGTCGAACCTATAGGATCCTAGCACCCTCCCATTTGAGGTTACTGCAATCACATGTGCCAAAATGTTTTTCTATATTTCTATCTATAGGTATTATATGTGGTTAAAATGGAAATGAAACATCTGTACGGCGCATAAACAGAAATATGAGCTAATTTTGACATTCTTCACTTTATGTCGTTTCATTACCTTCATAACTTTTCAGAAAAGGGAATTAAATGTGGCTGCAGCAGAAAAATGAAGTCATTAACAGAAATTCAAAGCAACAACAGTGACGCGGAAAATCATTAGAGTAACCAAGGCTCGCAATACCATCTCATATCAGTCACTGTTAGATAGAAATGCGCAAAAAAAAAAAAAAACACGGGACACAGCAAACTCCCATCCCGGGAATCCGTTGTCTGTGCAAAAATTAACCTTTCACGCCCAAAAGAGTACTATTCAACCGTCCTTAGGACGTTCGGGACGTAAACGACAAAAGGTGAGCACCTTCTCTTTGTGTGGTTTGTCTGGCTCCCCAAGCAACCAATGACGCCTTATTACACCTGTCCCTGTCATTTTAGCATCACGTGACAAAAACCAATATAGCCCGAATAACAGCGATGTGGCACGACTGCAACTTGCGACACACCATCTGCAGCTAGACATACTGATTATCCCTCTATACTAATTGAGTTCAGCGTAGCAGAAATTACCGAAGGCTTTCTCGTTTTCTTGTTGGCATGTTACAAAGAATACCATGAAATTTATTCCAGGGGCCAGAACAGTGACTGTACAGGTAATTTTTTGTTTTCGTTCTTTTCCAGCGTATTAATGGGATAAAAAATTAATTTGACCATACACCCGCTCCTACAGCTAGACGGACGTTGGTATGCATTAGGTTGGATATGCAGCTGTCGCTGTTTGGTCAGTATATCAATACCGCCTACAAGCTGTCGTTGCAAGTTCTTGCAATACTACAGCGGCTGCCTGAGCTTCGGAAGGGTCACATGTACATGGTGCTCGAAGGACCCTACAACGCTTGAAATAATTTTCTCATTTGCGAGGTTTGCCATTTCTTTTTGCGCATTACGGCTCGGAACCCGCAGCAAAAGCAAAGAAAGGTAAATATACCGCGGACGAGTGCCTGACTAATTGCTCTTTCCAAATCTTTATGATTTTTTAGCCGATATGATTTCAGCTTTGCACAGCCCACACTAAAGGAGAATAATTTGATTCTTATTTATGAACCCTGGTCTGTCATGTTTACGACTCTGTTTAGACGCATGAACTCTCTCGTGAAATCACTGTATACTCTCGCAGGAGAGCCATCGGACTCAGAAGACGTCCTCTTTTAAAATAGCGACATACATTACAAGTAACGAAAAAACGAAAGAGTAACTCATACACTTTCTTTTTCATAGCTAGTAGTGCCATTAAGACGTTTGTGTTTAAGTGATTAGATATTGTGTTTAGTACGACAGTTATGAGTGATACGAGAACGTCTACTTCAACGGATTGTCTGCCCACAGTGATGAATACAGGGAAGGTTCACAGCAGCGCTTGCTTTTTCCACCGCTTCTTTTATTTTTGTTTGTTTTGTCAGTCATGTTCCGATTCTAAGAAAATTATTCTGGACACCAGACCCACTTTAAAAAATGGAACATTAGTCTGTTCTCCAGATTATTCCCTTCCATTCAACTGTTTGATTTAAGTGAGCAAAGCATGGCTACATAGAAATGCGAAAATTTCAAATTTTAAATAAATTGGAAGCACTCAGCCGCGTAACGCGATAACCGCTTGGTCAATAATAATAATAATAATAATAATAATAATAATAATAATAATAATAATAATAATAATAATAATAATAATAATAATAATAATAATAATAATAATAATAATAATAATAATAATAATAATATAATAATAATAAATCATTATTATTACTAACCCAATTGTTATAATAACCCAATCCAGTTGATGTATGGGGTGAGAAAACAAGCGACAGGCCACTTGACTAAGTTCTCAGCCCCCAATTACATCAGGCAGAGAAAGTGGTGGCGACAGAATACTTATAATGGTCACAGTAACTCACTTTAGTTACACAAATATATGAACGTACATATAATAGAGACATTTAAAATGGAAGCAGTGCAGGTTATGTAATGTTGATGAGCTTTGTGCAAATATGACAAAAGAGAACAGTAAAAACAGAATAGAAAAGAGGCACAGAGCATGGCAACACATTGCATGATACACATAAGGGGGTAAATGCTAATTATGTGCTTTAACAGTTAGAATTAATTGAAAATTCTCGAAGCTGTGCTTGTGTAATTTTTGTAATTTAAATGCCCGCAAAATGGAGCTTGTTTAATTGTAACGGTAACGGATAAGAGACTCTTTGCACATCATAATTTGTTCTTGTGTGAGGAAGTACCCAAAGAGGCTGATTATGCCCAGCGGTGGTGGTCTAGTGGCTAAGGTACTCGGCTGTTGACGCGCAGGTGGCGGGATCAAATCCCGGCTGCGGCGGCTGCATTTTCCATGGAGGCGGAAATGTTGTAGGCCCGTGAGCTCAAATTTGGATGCACGTTAAAAAACCTCAGGTGGTCGGAATTTCCGGAGCCCTCCACTACGGCGTCTCTCATAATCATATGATGGTTTCGGGACGTTAAACCCCTCGTATCAATCAACCAATCAATCAATCAAAAAGGCTGATTACAATGTTTGTAGTGTGAGTTGTAAGATTGAATATCAGCTAACTCTGATAATGTTCACAAACGTCTTTTTTGTTCAATCTTACAGTATCGCTGCAGCTTATATTTGTATAAGTTTAAAGCGCTAATAATGGTGTATTAAATAAACAAATGATGAATGTTATGTCTGTATGGAAAATTATAAATTAAACGAATGATTTTATCATGTAGTACAGAAACTTTTTTCAGATTACTTTGTTTTTTCATGGCCCATACTAATGCACAGATTATGAACAAAATCCGTCGCATTTAGGCAAAAGGAAACTTAATTTTGGCCTCTATATATATACGAGGCAATTTGGGGGGGGGGGAGGGGGAGGGAGGGGATACTCAATCTTTTTCTGTCCTCTTTCCGACCCCTAGTCGCTCATTCCTTCGCATAGTAGCAATGTGGTTACCATTATCGAATAAACCTCCCTGCCTTTCTTTTTCATCTATTTCTCTCTCCCTCTCTTTTATTTAGAGCCACCTACTTTCGAAGAAAAGTTTAGAATAGAGGCAACTTAGAAAGAACTAGTTGACAGCGTTTATTATCCTTGATTTGTTGTTTGCTAAATACCGTTTACGTTTGGGATTAGAATATATCTGCCAAAGACGCTTAGCGCAGTCTTCGTATCAGCAAATGGTTCTTTCAATGTGTGTGAGTAATCTCTAACGCAGCTTCTGTGCCTTTGACGTATCAGTTGATGAAGGTATACAGCCGCGGAGTACTTTTACGCAAAGAGCACTTTTTTGACGCATTAAATAGATACCCCCCTCCACCCAGCTCGTAGCCAATAAGAGCCTTGGCACATCCATTTGATCTCAGCCCCCATCTCCTTGTGAGCTTAAGACAAAAAGCTTGTCGACTGTGGTTTTGTGCCACTTTCACAACAGTTTTTGCCTTCCGAATATGCATGTAAGACAGCGGTACTTGCAACCACTGCGGCAACGAGTAGACAAATCAGCACGCTCTTCATCACTGCCCTCGCTACAGCACGCACAGGCCGCAGCTCAACAGCATGTGGGCACACCCTGAAGACAGGCCTTTGCCGAAATAGACAGTATTAGAATGCTGTTCTAAAGTGTCTTCGAACCATCAATCTATCAAGGCTTGAGTGGAATTCTCACGTGGCAGCAGCCTACTGGGCTGTTCAGAATACTCCAAATCCTCACTTTTTCGTCTCTTTCTTTATTTTTGCACGCCTCCTCTTCATCACCGCTTCTCTTCTAGTCTTTCTTTCCCTTCCTCTTCTCCCTAACGTAGAGTAGCAAACAGAATGTTTCAGTTCCGGCTGAGACCAAATCAGATAAGTGATACTCTAAAGAAATGAAGAAAGGACATGATGCCGTATACACCTCAAAGTCTGAACCCACTTCGGGTTTAATTATTCATTGTTTATTAGGGGTAAAATAAAGACATTGCGTATATCAAATGCGACTCTTCAACAAAACGGTGTCCCGGACAGAGTGAGCTGGAACGACAACCGAATGGTGCAGCTATGTTTAACGCCATTTAAAGTTATGTATGACGAACAATGGCAACGCCCAAACCAGCAGTAGAAGTGCGGTCAACATGGCGATTTCCTCATTTAAATCGTTACAATTACGCAATTTCGCTTGACGTTCGCGCCGTCGTCATAATTTTAGGACACCTCGCCGGGAGATTCAGCCGCGTTTCGTATAGCCGCTTACGGAAGGTAAGTCGCGATAAACGCTGCAAACACAACCTTAATGGGGAGGAGCGTGTGGAATCATCAGGATGTCGGAAGGTCATGGCAGGCGCTAAGCGTTCTTGAGCCTCATGGAAGTAGTTCGCAGCAGGCGTCATCAGCGATCATTACGCCAGAAGTGTTGCCATTCACAACCATCCCTTGCTCTTGAACTAATGTGCTGTTTGAGGAACTATATAAAAATAAGGAGCCATGAAACACGGGTGAAATGTTTAACTTTTCGCTGATGACAAACCGGGGCGCGAAAAATATCTAGCCAAACAAAAGAGCACATAAAGAGACTTGTGTTGACGATTTAGAATCTACGAGAATAAGGAAGAATACACCGGCGTAATAACCGTATGTCTACTTAGTTACATAAACATTGTAGTCAGATTGCTATATTTTATCAGCAGCAACTCACTTTGCAAAAGCAATAATCACTTCGTCATGCCACAGTACTTAAGCCAATGCGAACTATATCCAGTGTACAGGGTAATCTTGACGCTCCGTGGCTATGCATCGTGGTCATTTTTTCTTCCGTCTTGTTCCTTCACGAGCCACGAAAACTCACCTGAATGCAGTTTCTTTCTTGCTCGCGCAACGCGCTCTTTGCGGTTTTCGGACAAGCGTACTATCTACGAATTAGGTCACAGCCAAATTTACCTACTGCCTGTCAGGGCTGAAACCGTGGCGTCTAGATCGCGCAGGAAGAGGCTAAAGATTTTCCTCCCGACGAGACGGGAACGGAGATCGGTAGTAACACGATAAATCGGTCAGTGGGCTCAGCCCAAAAGGTGGGACCGTCGTCTTTCTACCAGACACACGCGTACCTTGACAGCTCCGTTTATTTATTTTTTTTTTCGAACGAGTGCTGAGCCACCGAAGCACCCCTCTCAGTTCCTCACGTGTCACGATGCACCAGCGCTTCCGTTCACAGCGCCCAATCAAGGCTTGCGTGGAACTTCCACAATGCCGACACTGTAACGTCTGACAGCCTCTCGCGAGCGCACCTTTCATCCTTGTTTCGTACAAAGAAGGCAGGTTGGGCTGTCTGGAAAGAAGAAGTGGAAGCCTCGTGACTGTGCGCTTATTTTTTCTGGCCCCCGAACGGCTCATAAAACTTCGGACCTGTGCACTGCGCGGGCTGCTTATGAACGTTCCCGCTGTTTTCTCAGTACGGTACTGCCTTCGCTATAGATAGAGAGTTATGGCCAAAATAGGAAGAAGATCTGGCGCTCCGACGCGGCGATGCGCGGTGCGTCGCCAGTTGAATCACTTTGTGTAGAAGAAGGCGAAAGTCCTCCCGTGAGCAGCGTGCTTTTGTGATCTTGCAGGTCTTCAACCGAGGTACGTATAGTGCCACCTTCCTTCTGCCACTCAACCTGGACTGCGTGCGATGGCGGCTAGCAAAACATTGTCCACACTGTTCTTCGCTGATGATACCAACCGCACGTGGCTGCCGAAGCGCGACCATCGGACAGAAGGTTGGCCGCTTACAGGCAATCCGCTGCCAGTCCTCACAATCACGGCCGCGTACGTGTACTTCGTCAAGGTGGCCGGTCCCCGCTGGATGTCTCGCCGCAAGCCTTTCGACCTGAAGGCCTGCATCCTGGTTTACAACCTGTTGGCTTCCCTGCTCAGCGCCTTCTTTCTGTGCCGCTTCGTGAAGCTCGCCTACTTGGATCTGGGCTACACATTTCTGCAGGGCCTCGACATGGTCGACACACCGGCGAGCCGCGAGATCGTACGTTTGTCCTGGTGGTTCTACATATTCAAGCTGTGCGAGCTCACCGACACTGTGTTTTTTGTGCTTCGCAAGAAGAACCAGCAAATCAGCACGCTCCACGTAGTGCATCACGTGATCGTCTCCTGGAACATGTGGTTGGACGTGACGTACGGCGCCCAGTCGCACGAGATGTTCATCAGTTGCCTGAACTCTTTTGTGCACGTATTTATGTACACGTACTACTTCCTCGCAGCGCTTGGACCCGCCTACAAGCGGCTACTGTGGTGGAAGAAGTATATAACGCTGATGCAGATTTCACAATTTGTCCTTTTGCTAGTGCACGCCATTGGCATGGTGTTCTCCAAGGGAAACTACTTGGGACTCTTCGTGTGGCTCGAGGCAGCGCAGGCGATCTTGTTCTTCGTGTGGTTTATGCTCTTCTATATTCAGGCCTACACAAAGAAGAAAGTTTAGCTCCATCATTTTTTGCAAGTAAAAAAAAAGGCCTTTTCTTTCTTCAAGTCTTTTGGATTTGAACTAGCTGCGTGGTCTAGCTTGAAGGTAACGTGTCGAAATGTTTCTCAAAAGTGTTTAACTTACATTTTTATCTTCAAATAAGTAATGTTTGAAGACTTTGACATTGTGTCGTTTGCTTACATTTTTATGTAATGTCCTGTGAAATGCAGTTTAGCGATTTACATATTAGGTATTCAAGAGAATTATGTGGACGAAGAAGTGCTTCTTCATGTGACAAACATATTGATTAGTCAAAACTTATATGCTTCTATGCTTGAACATAGCAACTATCTGAAACGTAAAGCTTAACTTCACTGCGTTACGATGACGTTAGTACAAGATCCAAAATACTTTATCTCACGTAAAGTATTGTCACCCGGGAACCGATGTCGGTTGTCACCTGGATCTGTTTCAACAGCGTTAGCCTGTTTGTGAAGATAATGGTATAAATGAAACGCTATGCAATGCAGATTTTTTTTCTTTTCTCCTTATCAATCCCGCTTTTACCCATTCCTCATTGAAGGATAGCCAGGCAGATTGTTTAACCTTGTTAAGGATTGTATTTTTCTTCTATAGTGCTCTCCATCCAACTCCGTATTCTTTGAAGGTTTTCCCTGCATATGTTCTAACTTGCCATAGATAGTCAAACAGACAGCTAAGCGGATGACGGCCATCTTGAGTTTCATTTCAATTATCACACAGCTGTAAAAATAGACAGCCTCGCGAATTTCCCAGCAATGACAAAGCAATACAGGCTAACTGGCTTTGAAAACAAGTCGGCGACTGACCGGAATCCTTATATTCTGCCTGTATGGATGTCTGACCACAACTAGACGTTTTCTTGTGCGCTAAACGTAAGCGACGCTCAATTCTTACTGTGTTGCTGTTTAGGCTCGAGTCAAGCCCGGTGGCGACAGGAAATACTCAGGTGGGTATGTATCACTGTAATTTGGCAAGTTTCATTACTGATTATAACAGGTGCGATTGAAATTGTAACGATCTCCAACTTTACAATAACAAAGTGAAATAATTGAATTTAACATGTGTAATTTGAATGTAGCGATCAGCATCCCCAGTTGGTTAATATTTAGGAAGAAATGGAAGCATATTCACGGAGTGAATGATGAGAGTGGGTCGAAGCATTCGTCCATCCATTCGTTCTTGCTTCCGTCCGTTCCTGCGTACGACTGTGTAACCGTCCATGCGTCCATCCACCCGTCCGTGCGTGCGTCTGTTCGTGCGTCCGTCCCTGCGTTCGTCCATGCATCCGCGCCTGCGTCCGTTCATGCGTCCATCCATGCATCTGTCTGCGTGTCCGTTCGTCCATCTAGTCAGCACTCCAAGTACCACCATCTCGCATCTTTTCATCATATATTCTCCATATAGAAGCACCGCCATCCAGCGGACATTTCAAGGACTAAGCGGGAGGTGGCACATGCACACTTTCTTACGGCTTGCGCTTCGGGTTTACTTCCCACCTTTAACCACCTCGAGTTCATTGTATATACTAGTTCACTGTATTCATGGCTATGCGGCCCAACGCTCGCTAAACCTTTCTAAAACCAAGGAGGTTACACCCAGCGAGTATAACGTAGCAACCCTTTCTTGTCAGATCGTGCTCAATGTACATGCCAATAGCTGCTAATGGGGATCGCAGCGTGCGCGTTACCTAAAGGCCGAATGCTCCTGTCTCTCATTCCCCCTTAGCAGCCATTAACATGTGCATTGAGCACTATCTTTTACTGTTCAACAACGCACAGAAGAAATCTCTCACTGGAACCACCTTAAAGGTCAAAATCGTAAGGACCGCTATTTCGGGTGTGTGCAACTGGTGGTTACGTACTACGAGGGACGCACAAGCCACGCCATAAGGAGCTTCGCCCCTAAAATGCAATAAAGTGAAAAAAACCCCGCGTTCGCCTCGTCGCAATAGATTTTTTAAGCTCCCATGTCACAACGCCCCCCCCCCCCCCCCCCACCCAGGAAACGGCGGCCGGCGCATGTATCGAAGGCGAGCATTATCCTCGTGGTGGGCGGGAGACGCTTCTCGACCGGCGAGCTGGAAGGTTGTCGCGGCGCGCTGCTGCAACGAACGCTTCTAGCGTCTGTCAGCGGTTCTCTTGTTCCGCTCGTCACCGAGGCAGCTCCCCTTGTAGGGGAGCCCACCTCGTGCCTAGTTCACACTGAAACAGCCGCTTTCTACAGCGACCGAAATTCCCCTGCCGCCGAAACGCAGCGTCGTTCGCACTGGACGCGCCCCGCGCCGCCGAATATGCCATCTACTTAGGGGCAAACGCGGGATGGATGCGCTGTCACGCGGTTGTTGTCGCGGCTCGCAAACGCTACTACGCTATCCGGTGGTGTATACTTCGACGATTCTCGTACGCAAGAAGCAAGAAAAGACAGTACTGCTTACTTTGCTGGCAAGTTGCTGTCTTGTAATGCACGAAAAGCAGAAAAACCACCGACGCCAGCGGCGTTGGTGGGTTCGTTTTGCTCTGCAAGACCACAACAAGCTCGGTCACGCCAACAGCAAGCTCGGTCACCTCTTTCACGAAATACGGAGGTGAAGTAGGCACAGAGTAGGTTAAACTCCCGTTGGTTTCAACATTCAGTTACGTGCACTGCGGCATAACAAGTGAGTAGGGCTTGGCCGCCATTTTTCAAAATTCTTTGACTAGCGCTCCTATTGGTCCGCGGTGACCGATTCGGCGGCAGACGCCGCAAAAATCAGTCCGAGAGCAATCGGCGCGGAGAGGGCCCTTTCGGCGGATCTAGCCGCCGCCGAACCGGATTCGGAGCACTTTCGGCGGCCGGAATGCTCACCCACAGCTGTGTCGCTTCCGCCCTATACAGAATTGGAACTCGCCACGGCGTGAGATGCAGACTGTATATCTTACACCATGCCATTGACCCTCCCTGTAGAGAAGTTTAATCGTGGAAGTAATTCGTGCGTACACTCTTACGCAGAAGCAAGCACACAAACACACAAGATCTACAGAATTACCGTGATGTTATCACAAATGAAGTTTTATTTGTACAAGGAACTTGTTGTACGCAAAGTAAAAAAAAAAGAACCTTTGGGGTGGTGAAGCGAGACGATGAAGCTGCTAAGGGCCAGCAACCATTGGCTGAAAGCATAGGCAGGTTCCAGGCCCATCCCACCAATTCACAGGGCACTTGAAAAAAGTTTTTGATAAAATGAGAACAAACAAGCATAACGCACACTGTCTGCAACCGGTGCCATGGTTCTCTCAAGAATGCTAAAGGATGGTATAGTGAATGCCTCCCTACTACACAAACATTATGATATGCTGTAGTGGGTACCCTGCAAGTGTGCGTGTGGCAGTAAACCATGAATCCTCCGTACATTTTGCCCACTCGATTTTATTGCAACGCTCCCCCTAGCGTACGTCGCCGCACTATATCGAACGATGACACGCGCCATATGTGGCATCATTCCTATTTTATAACACCTCGCATCTTTCATAATCAACTACACGTACCGCCGCCTAGTTTATAACATCTTGCATCTTTTGGACGGACAGACGGACGGACGGACGGACGGATGGATGGATGGACGGACGGACGGACGGATGGACGGACAGATGGATGGATGGACGGACGGATGGACGGACGGATGGACGGATGGATGGACGGACGGACGGATGGATGGATGGACGGATGGATGGACGGACGGACAGACGGACGGACGGACGGATGGATGGATGGATGGATGGATGGATGGATGGATGGATGGATGGATGGATGGATGGATGGATGGACGGATGGACGGATGGATATGGCTGTACCCTTTAGATCGGGCGGTGGCTAGCGTAATACTTAGAACTGAACGAGAGGTGGCTACATACAGGGGACGCACAACCCACGCCTTAAGGAGCTTCGCTCCTAAAAAAAAAACCCCGCGTTCGCCTCGTCGCAATAGATTTTTTGAGCTCCCATGTCACAACGCCCCCCCCCCCCCCCACCCCCACCCAGGAAACGGCGGCCGGTGCATGTATTAAAGGCGAGCATTATCCTCGTGGTTGGCGGGAGACGCTTCTCGACTGGCGAGCTGGAAGGTTGTCGCGGCGCGCTGCTGCAACGAACGCTTCTAGCGTCTGTCAGCGGTTCTCTTGTTCCGCTCGTCACCGAGGCAGCTCCCCTTGTAGGGGAGCCCACCTCGTGCCTAGTTCACACGGAAACAGCCGCTTTCTACAGCGACCGAAATTCCCCTGCCGCCGAAACGCAGCGTCGTTCGCACTGGACGCGCCCCGCGCCGCCGAATATGCCATCTACTTAGGGGCAAACGCGGAATGGATGCGCTGTCACGCGGTTGTTGTCGCGGCTCGCAAACGCTACTACGCTATCCGGCGGTGTATACTTCGACGATTCTCGTACGCAAGAAGCAAGAAAAGACAGTACTGCTTACTTTGCTGGCAAGTGGCTGTCTTGTTATGCACGAAAAGCAGAAAAACCACCGACGCCAGCGGCGTTGGTGGGTTCGTTTTGCTCTGCAAGACCACAACAAGCTCGGTCACGCCAACAGCAAGCTCGGTCACCTCTTTCACGAAATACGGAAGTGAAGTAGACACAGAGTAGGTTAAACTCCCGTTGGTTTCAACATTGTTACGTGCACTGCGGCATAACAAGTGAGTAGGGCTTGGCCGCCATTTTTCTAAATTCCTTGACTAGCACTCCTATTGGTCCGCGGTGACTGATTCGGCGGCAGACGCCGCAAAAATCAGTCCGAGAGCGATCGGCGCGGAGAGGGCCCTTTCGGCGGATCTCGCCGCCGCCGAACCGGATTCGGAGCACTTTCGGCGGCCGGAATGCTCCCCCACAGCTGTGTCGCTTCCGCCCTATACAGAATTGGAACTCGCCACGGCGTGAGATGCAGACTGTATATTTTACACCATGCCATTGACCCTCCCTGTAGAGAAGTTTAATCGTGGAAGTAATTCGTGCGTACACTCTTACGCAGAAGCAAGCACACAAACACACAAGATCTACAGAATTACCGTGATGTTATCACAAATGAAGTTTTATTTGTACAAGGAACTTGTTGTACGCAAAGTAAAAAAAAAGAACCTTTGGGGTGGTGAAGCGAGACGATGAAGCTGCTAAGGGCCAGCAACCATTGGCTGAAAGCATAGGCAGGTTCCAGGCCCATCCCACCAATTCACAGGGCACTTGAAAAAAGTTTTTGATAAAATGAGAACAAACAAGCATAACGTACACTGTCTGCAACCGGTGCCATGGTTCTCTCAAGAATGCTAAAGGATGGTATAGTGAATGCCTCCCTACTACACAAACATTATGATATGCTGTAGTGGGTACCCTGCAAGTGTGCGTGTGGCAGTTACCCAAAGAGTGTTTCGAAAGGCTCTGACATGCCGCTCTTACAGCTTTCGCTGGGACTGTGCTGCGCGTCCCACGCAGGCCTGGCGGTTTTTCGCTTATTACGAGAAACACAGGAACATTGCGGATAGCAGATGCGAATTTTATATATAACGATCGATGTTCCAGAGAGCATTTACAGGTGCACGACGGCAGAATAGTGCAGCTGTATCAAGAGTGGCCATTTGTCTTTGCCCATGACGACCAATCGCGACGTTCAAAACAGCTGCGAAAATTTGGTGAACGCGGCTGGCTATTCCATCGTTTATATCATTTTAATGTGGTGATGTCGCTTGACGTTAGCCCCGCCATCCTTCTTTTAGAAAACTAGGCGGCGAGTTTAAGCCACGCTCCGTGGAGGTGCTTATAGGAGGTAAGTCTGGATAATTTGTTCTGCCTGCTGTGAATACAAGAATAATGCATAGAGAAGAGTGTAGGGATAATTAAGATGACGGAAGGTGGTGCTTGCTAAGGTTTCTTGCGCTTGATGAAATGGGTCTGTCACACGCGTCTTCAAGGAACATTAAAACTATTGCCTTTGAAAGCCATCACCTCCAAGTTGAAACACATGTCACGTGATATCGTTTCTGCTGACGAGAAAGACAAGGGCGCCACAAATACCATTCTCAGGACCAAAGTAGCGAGCGAGGAGATTGCTTTTCTGTCAGTGATTTTATGTCTACGTATATAAGTATGACTACATGCGTGTTGTATTGTGACCTTACTGCTCCCTAAACTCATCAAACGGTGCATGGTCAGTGTACTATAATTTACGAACAAACAAACACGCTTTATTCAACAAAATCAGTTCGTAGAGCCGCAATACCACGGAAAATAAATGTGTCTGCAGTAGCATTATATTAGGATTTGTCCCGGGTATATATTCCACTTATTTTTTACTTCTCTGTGTCTCCTTGATGAGACTTGAAAGGTTTCTCCTGTATGCACTGTTTCCTTTTTGCTCACGCTACCCAGTCCTTCAGTTTTTCGACTAGGCCTACTATCTAAGATCGAGTTCATAACCAATTTTATCCACTGCCTGTCAAAACTAAATTCGTGGCGTCTTGGTCATATGCAAGAAGGGACTAAAGGTTTTCCTCCAAGCGATACGTGAATGGAGATTGGTAGCAATGCAATAAATCAGTCAGTATGCGAGGCCCTCCAAACTGGCACCCCTCTCCACCTTTACCTTGACAGCTTTGTTTTCACGTGCGTCCTAGATATAAATGATTATCATCATCATGAAATTACATGCGCCATTTTCGTTTTCTTTTTTGTCGCCTGCATCTTCCTTCCCTTCTGCTTCACTACCAAATGACGTGCGCCGATCTGTCCGAAGAATCAAGCAATAACTCAATGGGCGATACAACGAGTATATAGAGGGAGAAAGAAAGAGAGAGAAATTGTTGGTGGAAAAGGTACCAAAGCTTGCACTGAAGGTGTTGTGGGGTCTCTGATCAAATCACGCGCTCTCGGAGCGAGCGGACACAACTGACGCGGTTGAAACGATCAAAACAACACATTCATTGAACGCGTTCTTTTACAGCTCATTCTTTTATGGCGACGATAGTGTCAGCCGAATCGAATTACGCCACTCAACATGTTAAAACAACTTTACACAACATTGAAACGCACTCAATCAACATAACAACAAACACAAGGCAGCGCGAAGGTGGCGCCGCCAACGCTAAACTCACGCTAAACTGACCCGCGGTGCCGTCCAGCTATCAGCCCCGAGAACGAACACTGGCGTCGCTGTGGTCGCGGTGGTTTGACGTCACGGCAAGGACTCGCCTGCTCCGCCGGCCCTTGTAGGCTTTTTTCTGCGCCCGCCATGTACACGCTCTTTAGCGATATACGTTGTGAGTACACCTCAATTTCGCGACGCAAATTTCACAAGATACAAAAGGCAAGGTTTCACAACTAGTGAAAGTTCTTGAAGCTGTATGAAGTTTCCATTATTTAGTTTAGGATCGGCAGGCTACCGTCCGAAAGGAAGATTTACTGTGAAAATGGTGATGCAGGAGAAGGCGTTCCTTCTTTTTCTCGTGTATACCACGAAATAGGGGATAAAAAATGTGCTAAGTGGTACTAACGTTATTACAACTAGGCATAGACTCCGGGATTAGGAAATATCTGTGCCGAAGTATCATAAATAAAACTGGGGACGTTTTCAATTCACTAAATACATTGAGCTTTAGCGTATACAAGCTATATATATACGCCACATCTCGGAATAATCTGAATGATTTGACAGAACTGCACTTGCTCCAGCAGGAGACATTGCATGAATATGGCTGTCATAAGCCCTCACTTAACATATTCGTCAATTAAACAAAACAACACTGCCACATACACAATTATTTCAGCAATAATGAGATATTTCTCATTTACCGGGATAATATATAAGAACAGGTTTCATCTGAACAGTCGCCAGAGAGTATGTAGTCATATACCCTGATTTGTGTAAAATACTGAAGTGTTCTACCACCGCATCACAAACCCTAATTGGAGCTTCACGTGAGAGCACCGCTGATAGCAAAGCTTTCAACACAAACGTCAGAAAAACTAAAAGAACGTTTTTTTCTTCATGATGTAAAAAAAAAAACCCAGCGCAAAGGGGACGCACAAAAAAAGAGGAGAACACAGGTTGTCCTGAGTCTTCTTTCTTTTGTGTGTCGTCTTTTGTGTGACGTGATTTTCACACCCGTCGGAATGCGGCTGTAGGCCACGAATGGCATCCATCATCGGGGTTAGCAGCGCCACACAGACCTTTTCACTCCTTTGACATTGCTACACGATTGTGCAGAAGCAAAAGCAAACCTTTTATTGTTTTACCTGAAACCTTATCAATTCTGTTTCCTTCATAGCTTGGGACAAGCAAAAAGCGGTCGCAAACCGCGGAACAGCGCACGACGCGAGCGTAGGCGCACCGCGGCTGGCATCGAAGAGTCCGTGCCGTGACGTCATCCGCCAGGCAGCGCCACTCCAACTTCTCGGGGCTAATGAACCCACCGCGGAAGACAACCGTTCGTACCCACCCCCACACGCCAAAGACGACCGCTGATATCTCATGTGCAACCAGCCAGCACCACCGCCGAACGTTACTGCTGGCGCTACCACGTTAAGCATGATGATGATAATGGTAATAAACGCTCGCGAGCACAACGCCACATACCGCTCGATGATTGCGAACCCTAAATGTGGCCTATGCGCCAAACACGTCTGCCTGTGTCACAGTGCGAAGCACTGTTACAAGTTTATTTTAGTAATATTAAAAGTAAATAAATATGAACCACGCACTAAACGCAAAAACATTTATGTTGCCGATTTGTTTACATCGATTTTGTAGTTAGGACTAGAGACGTTCAAAACGGGAAGCTATCTCAAAATTAACGCCAACTTATCCGTAATACTCGGTTATCGAAGCTAACTGAAAGCAAGCGAAGCTACTTTAAAGAGTCATTTGCTGCGAAGTTAACTGTTCAACAACAACGCCAAAATCACTTCGAAGCGGGCGTCCGAGAGCGCCGCCATGTTTTACGTATGTTACGTACAGGTACGATAACACGGTAACGTTAAATATAAAAAATAGCGTGAGTACGGTAAGCGGTACGGGTAACGTACGTATCTGCCCGTGCACACTACCATCCCGCTATCACGGTACAGCCGGTATCCCGTAAGGCCGGTATACTATAACTGTCTATTATTTTGTGCTGTGCCCTACATGTGTGCCTAGAGACATAGCGCCCCCCCCCCCCCGCCCAGGCCATTAAAATTGAGCGATCAGTGCGTCAAGGTTAGTACATTATTATTTTGCATATATACCGAAAAATTATGTCTGGTGATACTTCAGAACCATATCATTAGCGGGTTTAGATTACAATCCTCAGAGGTCGAACTATTTGCATATGCTGACGATGTTGCGATATGTAGTACTTCTTATGAAGACTTGAAGCGTCACTAAGAATTTCTAAATGTCTCACTGAAGTTACAGGACGTCATATAAACTGGGGTAAGGACCTCGGGTTTTGGCATAGATCTTGGCCTTCAACTCCTGAATATTTTGCAGCCATTAATTGGACAAAAACACCAGTTAAACATTTCAGAGTGTCAATTGAGTCATAGAAAAGTACTGATAATTTTTCGAAACAGCAAACAAAAAAAATGAATGAAACCACCCGGCTTGCGCGAAACGTGCAGCACAGTCAAACTGAAAGCTGGAAAAACGGCCTTTTTTAAGCTCTCTTTGGGTAACCTCTACAAGACACTTGCAGGGTACCCACTACACAAGAAATCATAATTTTTGTATTTTTGTGTAGTTGGTAGACATTCACTATGCCACATTTCGTCATTCTTCCGAGAAGCGTGGTAACCGCTGCACGCTCGCAAGAAATTTTGTGCAATTATTTGTTGATGTGGCTGACGACGATGAAGAATTATGCCTGAAGCTCTTGTACTGGGGATAGGAGCATCCGATGACTCACTCGTTACACAATTTGCATTGCGTGACACCTGGTTGTTCGTTTGCCGTTCTGAAACACTTTGTTGTTCATATTTACTGGATTACATTCATTTCATTTCATTTCATTTCATTTATTACCTTAAAGGTCCCCAGGGGGACATTACATAAGGGGTGGGGTTACAAAAAACGTACAAAAAAGCCATGAATTAGCTTGAAAAATGGCTTGTGACGCTATGCATAAATGTTGATGAACAGGTGATTGCTGCAATATGGTGGGGAAGATCATCCTAGTCTTTTGCTGCACGAAGAAAAAATGAGGCAGCAAAAGTAACTGTGCGGGAACTTTGACGGGCAACTTGAAAGACATGGCCAATGCGATATGACCTGCGAAATGGGGGGGAAATGTAAGGTTCGATTGCAAGTGGGCTGTGAAAAAGTTTATGAAACAAGCAAAGGGTGGCAATGCGGCGGCGGGAAGATAGAGGGGACAGGCCAATTTCTTCTTTTAAAGATGACACGCTAATGTGATAGGCATATGAGGAATGAATGAATCTAGTAGCACGGTTTTGAAGTGATTCGAGTGCAGCAATGAGATACGCGTGTTGTGGGCTCCAAATTGACGATGCATATTCAAGCTTGCTTCTTACGAGGGACTGATATGCTAATAATTTAACATGGCGGGGTGTGTTGCGCAGATGACGTTTTAGGAAGCCGAGAGTACGATTAGCAGCTGCGATGATAGTCCGGATGTGCTCAGCCCAAGTTAGGTCACTGCACAAAGTTAGGCCAAGGTATTTGTAGGATTGCACAAGTTGAACAGGAGTGTTAGAGATTACGTAGGAAGTGGTGAGCGGGTTATGGCGACGCTGAAACGACACAAGTTTACATTTGTTAAGATTAAGTTCCATTTGCCACCGTTCACACCAACGCTGCACTTGGTTATTGTCACTTTGGAGGCTAATTTGATCAGATACATTCATTACTGTGCGGTACAAAACGCAGTCATCAGCAAACATGCGTATGCTACAAGTTAAGTTCGTTGGTAGGTCGTTAATATATATTAGAAATAACAAGGGGCCAAGGACGGAACGCTGAGGGACACCTGATGTAACTGGAATAAAGCTGGAGAGCTGATCATTTACAAGGACAGATTGGGAACGGTTATGTAAGAATTCTTGGATCCAGATTAAGACTGCGGGATGTAAGTTTAAGTGGGAGAGTTTCAGTAACAGGCATTTGTGAGGTACCTTATCAAATGCTTTGGTGAAATCTAGAAATATGGCGTCGGTTTGAAGGTTATTATCGAGATTGGAATGAAGGTCATGAACAAAAAGTGCTAGTTGAGTTTCGCATGAAAACCCTTTTCGGAAGCCATGTTGTGCAGGATGAAAAAAAATTAACCTTGTCAAGAAAACTGATAATGTGAATGAATATGACGTGTTCCATGATTTTGCAAGGCACTGAAGTTAATGAGATGGGACGATAATTTAGAGGCGAGTTTTTGTTACCAGCTTTGAAGACTGGAATGACCTTCCCTTTTTTTCCAATCGTCGGGCAGTTGGCCTGTGGCAAGTGACTGCGAAAACAATAAACATAAATATTCGGCACAGACATCTACAGTGTTTTTAAGGAACTTGGAGTTAATATTGTCTACACCCGCGGAGGACGACAGCTTTAGGTTGTTAATTATAGATATTATACCAGACACGGAAAATGTGATGGGTGGCATCAAGAGTTCGCTAGTGGAAGTCGGCATATAAAATGAAAGGTCTGTTTCTTTTGTGAACACTGATCCAAATGCGCTATTAAAGATGTTTGCACAATCAACGTCCCTTATAGGTCTGCCGGCATCGTCGGTGAAGTTAGTAGACTGCGTGGGGTGAGGGTTGATTATTTCAAAAAAACTTGCGTGGATCACTTTTTAGAATGGTCGGCAAGTTATAGTTATAGAAAGAGTGTTTTGCTACGCATATCTTTCCTAGGTAGTCATGTTCGGCTACATAGTATTCTTCCCATGCGCATTGGCTTCCCTTCTGTTTGGCTGAACGAAAGAGGCGTTTCTTTTTGTTTTCTAGGCGTTTTAATGTTTTGGTGAACCAGGGCTTTTGAGTGTCGGTCTAGTCATAGAAACATCAAGTTCGCAACATCAAGTCTGCCTAAGGCCAGTTCCACAAACTTTCAAGCACCAGCTTAACTCTGCAATAGAATGCCGGGCTTGCACGCAGAGGTCCCGAGTTCGAGTCCTATTTTGTCTTTGATAGTTTTTATTTGCCGAGTTTTTTTTTCTCATTTGCTGCAATAGTGGTTACGGACACCGGCGCCGGCGGCTGACGACTACGGCACACGTGACCCTTGAGGTGATCTCATAGCATCAAAAGTGGAAGCGAATATGTGAAAATATGTGAAAAGCAACTTGCCTCTCCATGTTTCGTAGAGCTATACACTGCATGCAACTGTGTGTGTGTGCGCGCGTGTGTGTGTGTGTGTGTGTGTGTGTGTGTGTGTGTGTGTGTGTGTGTGTGTGTGTGTGTGTGTGTGTGTGTGTGTGTGTGCGTGTGTGTGTGTGTGTGTGTGCATGCGTGCGTGCGCGCGTGTGTGTGTGCATGCGTGCGTGCGTGCGCGTGTGTGCGTGCGTGCGTGCGCGCGCGTGTGTGTGTGCGTGTGTGTGTGTGTGTGTGTGTGTGTGTGTGTGTGTGTGTGTGTGTGTGTGTGTGTGTGTGTGTGTGTGTGTGTGTGTGTGTGTGTTTTCTTTCTCCACAAGACAAGAGATCTTTTCAGGTAGACTATTGCCTGAGCTGAGTGCTTTGTGAGCAGTGAAGTGATGAAGGGTGCAGTACAAGGTTTCATGAAGGAATTTGTTGCCAGCGTGCGGTTTTTGTGTGTCCGTTTTTCGACTAAGGTCATGATAATAGAAAACGAGATAAGTCGCATGGTGTTTCAGCGTGGTGATGAATGGTCGCAATTTATAATCACTCTGAACATAAGACGGTGAAAGCACTGCTCGTGAGAAGTGTTCTTTTGTGATCCTGCAGGAATCTAGCCGTGGAACGGGCGAGGAACGGATATTGCTGGCTTCTTCCGACCTTCGCAGGGGACAACGTTTTATGGCGCCTGAGATAGCTTTGTCGATTGAGTTCTTCACTGACAATGCCAATTGCACGTGGCTACCTAAGCGTGACCATCGGACAGAAGGGTGGCTACTGACTGGTAATCCACTGCCGCTCCTCGTTATCACGGTCGCATATGTGTACTTCGTCACGGTGGTTGGTCCCCGCTGGATGTCACGACGCAAGCCCTTTGATCTAAAGACCTGTATCCTAATTTACAACCTTGTGGCCTCCCTGCTCAGTGCCTTTTTTCTGTGCCGCTTCGTAAAGCTCGCGTACTGGGACCTCGGCTACACCTTTCTGCAGGACCTCAATACGACCGACTCACCTGCAAGCCACGAGATCGTGCACTTGTCGTGGTGGCTTTACATTTTCAAGTTGGGCGAGCTCGCCGACACCGTGTTCTTTGTACTGCGGAAGAAGAACAAGCAGATCAGCGCGCTACACGTCGTGCACCACGTGATCGTCCCCTGGAACTTGTGGATGAACGTGACCTACGCCTCCCAGACACACATGACGTTTATCATATGCCTGAACTCTTTTGTGCACGTGTTCATGTACACGTACTACTTTCTCGCGGCGCTTGGACCCGCTTACAAGCGGCTACTGTGGTGGAAGAAGTATATGACCATGATACAGATTTTGCAATTTTTCCTGCTGTCCGTGCACGCTGTTGGCATGATGTTCGCCAAGGGCAACTACGTGGGGCTCTTCGTGTGGCTCGAGGCAGCGCAGGCGATCATGCTCTTAGTGTGGTTCTGCACGTTCTATGTCCAAGCCTACACAAAAAAGAACCCGTAGATTCATGCTCAGTATAGTCAGCGAAAAAAAAGTAGTTTTTTTTTTATTCCAGTACTTTTGACATGCGTAAGCTGACCTGTCTAGCTTGAAGGCAACGCGCCGGAAACTGTCCTCAAATGTGTTTTAAGTTCGTTTCGCTATATTAGGTGAAGACACTTACACCTTGACACCTACTTACATTTTTATGCAATGTTGTGTGAAGTGTAGTTTTAAAATTTGTAAATTCATTATTTATCAAAAATTTGTGTATGAAGCACCTCTTTCTTGTTGTCGCAAATAAATTTATCTACGAGAGGTGGCTTGCTTTTACACTTCAATATACCAAACTAGCGGGAATGTAAAGCTCACTTTTGCAGAGTACAATGGCGTTTGTACGAGTTCCAAAGTTATTTTTTTCTGTTGTGACGCATAATAACCCCTGTACCATTGTTGGTCGCCTGCCAAACCTGCTTTAACAGAAATAGTGTGCATGTGGAAATGTTGGTACTGAATGAAGAACTACATTATGCAGACATATTTTATTTTTTATTTTTATTTTTCGCCTCATCTACTCTTTGTTTAACCATCACTCAATGATAGCCGTCCAAACTGTTTAACCTTGTTAACCATGCTGCTTGTCTTCTCTTGTTCTCACTCACCCTCTGTAAGTCTATGTAAGTCTCACTCACCCTCTGTGAGTTTTACGCACCTTTGTAAGTCCTTTATGGTTGTGTTCTAATACTTGCCACTTCCAGGAAAAATACGCATAAAAGGACAGCGGCCATTTTAAAGGGACACTTAAGAGCAAAGCGATTTTTCGTGTATAGGTGCAGCACAACTTTTAAATCCAGAAAACATCACTCTTACCGCGACACGACGCTTAGTATGCGAGACAACACGCGAAAAGATAATGCGAGTGGTGACGCCACCTGGAAGTTTCCGCACCAGACAAAATACGGAAAAATTTTGAGGCTGTCTACTGAGTCCTACCCAGCTTCCAATGGGTAAAAATGAAGTACATCATAATCTGTGGATTCCATAGGCTCAGCATACGACGTTTCATGACATTTCAAATGAAATTTCATATGCCACCAAGAAATACCAAAATTACATTTCGAAATTTCTTGCGACACACGCGCAGATTCTGGCGCAAAATGAAACTTCAACCTTGATTTTCTTCGCTAATATTGAACTTGGGATAGTGAAGCAAGTGGCATTAGAGTTCTCAGAGTTCAGTTTGTCAATTTAAAACAAGTCATTGTTGCTTTTTAGGATACCCTGAAGCCGCATTCCAGTGTTCGCATAGCTGGTAAAATAGGCAGCTTCGCGAGTATATCGCTTCAGAGACAAGTACAATGCAGGCTACACGCACTGCAAACAAGTCAGATACTGAACGGAATGCTCAAGTGCCAATGGTATGTATACGCTTGCTTGAGCGGTTAATGCAACAGTTCAGTTTTACTGCGATAGAAATTATATGAACAGTCTTGGCTGACCGTTGCCAAAGTTGCCGTCGTGCAACGTATGTATACATACGTACTTATATGTAGGAAAACTCAAGAAAGAAAAAAGTTACAGCTTTGCCGCGAAGGCGAAGGAACGAACGCGATAGCAACAAATTAAAAGGTCACGCGTAGAATGGCAAGCAGATTGAAACGCTCCCTACGTTTTTCACGCACAAATAACGCAAAAAAAAACGTACTCACAGCTACAGATGAACGCAAATAAGCGTCTCAGTTGTTACTTCGTTGTGTCTGCAAAGCACACTTTTTTTTTCGAAAACAGAGAGTGCGCAACGATTGCAGTGACCATTGTGTGCCCGGTAACTACAACAGAATTGGTCCGGTGAAAGCCAAAGGCCAGCCAAGACATACGATTGTCCCCACCGCGAAATAAGCATGCGCGTTAGCGTCTACCGTGCTCCCTATCCGCGGGGCAAAGTACGTGTGGGAGATGATCGAGAGCGCGCGCCGCTGAGTTGTGACGATGTGGCGATGCGCGTTCATATCGCCATCTTTCTGGTAATGCTCGAAACACGATAGTTCTCCCCTCCCCCGAGATGCTCGTCACCCGCGGTAAGTGGTAGATATAAATAGCTTGCATTGGAACGTTCAGAAATGTGCTCCTCCGTGGCTCAGTGTTTAACGCCTCGCAATCACGTTTTAGAGGTCCCAAGTTTGATTTCGCGCACCGGAGTCTTTTGTAGCGTTAGCTACACTGGCCTCGCTGAGCCGATTTCGCGTGGCACTGGTCTGCGCATGCGCAATGATACTCCTCCGCCGCCGCGCGCGGCTCGCCGCCGGTGTGCGCGCTATTCGATGTACTGTGCAGACGATCAGTGGTGTCACGCACCGGAGCCGGCACCTCCCTCGCACTCGGCCGCGGCCGCGCAGCGACTCGCCGCCACGTCGGTGTGCGCTTTCCAGAGGAGTGCCGTCATAGTCTTGGTAGACATATGGACGCCGACGCGCGCGCCTTCCCTGTGCAGTCACCATCTGACACTGCGCTGGAGCCGCTTGATAGCGCCTCTGACTGGCGTTTGCCACTGTGGTATAGCCATGCAGAAGGAGAGTGCAAATGCTGCTCAACGGTGCAGTAGAGCGGAGAAGCTGAACTCATCGGATCCCGAAGTAGTTGCCCGGCAAAATAAATATACATGTGCCACATAATACGTATACCGTGTGTGTGTCATTGGAACAGCTGTAAGAATGATATCTAGAAAGCTAAGAATAATCAGCTGAACCTTTGCTAACGCTACGTATATCCTGGCATAGCTGAGCTAAGACGCTGCCATTTTTTATAGATTTTTTTCTATCTTGCGTTTTCATATGTATAAATACGTATACATATACGGTGGGTGACTGCGAAGTGCCCGTCAACGCAGACACCGGCGGCAAAATCCAGCCAAGAGTGTTCATATAATTTCAATCGCAATAAAGAAGAAGAAAAATGTTTAGTTGGTACTTTGATTGGCGCCCCTTAACTTCAAATAAAGCCCATTAATAACGTTGTCACATGAACACTATGACAAATACGACTGCAGGTAGCTACCTAGATGGCAGGCATAACCGCAGTTAGACTGCTAACTATGGTTACCGCAAGCGTGTGATATGATGAGAGATCAACACGGATCCGAAAATTGATATTTTAGATTTGATTTCTTATTTTATATTTTATGTAGTTACCAATCCGCCCGAAAAGGAACTCCAACTTCGTAGAAATGACTGTACAGCTAAAAGATGTCTATGAATAGTTGCAGTTTCAGCCGGACTAGTATACAGAGTTCATTAAGTGTGCTGCTCAACTACCCTTGTAGACACAGTGTTGTATGGGACGTTTTGTAATGTATATACGCTAACCGCATTTGTATTAAATACCATATAAGAAAAAAATGTTTCAAACAAAGAGAGTTCGTGTCGCACAGTTGCCAGGAAGCAAGTCAAAAAATTGCTGCTCAAGTAGGAATGTGTCTACAATATTTCATATGTAAACGCTTGTCAAAAGAAAATGGACACGTCATAAGCAGCAGTAGAAGCCATGTAACAGCTGCGCTGCATGCCTTCATTTCGCAGTGCCCCCTCGATACTTTATTGAACAAAATCCCACTCACATACGTGATCGAGGCAGAGGCTGCTCAGACCATCGAGAGCAAGGTGAGCATTTCAGGCTTCACGTGAGAGAAGCAACAAAGAACCGCGACAGTAGCACACTGGTCGTGGCGCGTCGCAGCTGAGAAACAGAACTACAGTGGCTAGAATAGGGAAGTGTGATGAACGTGCCGGCTAGCGCGTAACGCCTTGGGAGGAAACCACCAGATGGCGCTGGCACACGTTTGCATACGTTTGCAATATTAGAAATTAAGCAACTTGGAATAGGTAGGCTTGCCTTAGGAACTCACGGGAATACACCAAATCAGGGAGTACAAGGTGAATTGGGATGGGCATCATTTGAGGGCAGGGAAGCTAGCAGCAAGCTAAAATTTGAGAAGCGATTGAGAGAAATGGGGGAGGAGCGTTGGGCTAGGAAGGTATTCAGCTACTTGTACATGAAGAATGTCAATATAAAATGGAGCAAGCGAACCAGAAAACTGACTGGTAAATACTTAGAAAACAGCAGGGGGCCAAACCAAAAAGAATTATCGGTTAAGAAGAAGGTGAAGGAGGCTGAGACCGATATGTGGAGAATTGGCATGATTAAGAAGTCCGCACTAGAGATCTATCGAATTTTTAAGCAGGGAATTGCCAAAAAAAGATCTATGATAATACTCGGGGTAGTTCTTTACTGTTTGAGGCCAGGACGGGAGTATTGCGAACCAAGACGTATCGGGCCAAATATGAAGGGGTAGACACGGTATGCAGTGTGTGTGGAGAGGAAGAGGAAACTGCCGAACACTTGATAATGTTCTGTAAAGGGCTTCACCCTATAGTTCAGGATGATGGCGCAGAGTTTTTCAAACCACTGGGATTTAGGGACAGGGAGGGCAAAATAGATTTTAAGTGGGTAGGATTAACTAGAAGGAGGTTATCTGATTGGTGGCTAAAGCCAAGGCACGAGTGAAAATTAAACCCTTCACTGCAAAGTACGAGTCCTCAACCTCACTATTTACAGGAAAAAATTAATATAGCTTTTGGTCCACTAAGTATTACGGCTTGGTGGCGCTAGCCATCACCCGATCTAAAGGGTACAGCCATATCAATCCAACCAATCCATCCAACGTCACCGAAGGCGGTGATGAGGTGCGCAGAGACGGGAATAAACCATGCGCGCGGGCAATGTGAAACATTTAAATATATTTTGATACTGGCACATGGCTTCAAATGGGTACCGAGAAAATATGTTAATTAGCTTCTGTAATAACAGGATGCCAACGCGGGTGCATGACTGAAATGAAATATCGACAGGGTGCCGAAAGTGAGCGCGCGACGGTGCTGAAACATTCTATCAATGTGACGTGGTAGAAGAGTGGAACGATGAACTCAGTTGTGAGTCATTGCTTGCCCCAACCCTCATTCCCTGAAGCACTAATCTGTAAATAAAGCCCCATCATTCGTAACGTCAAACTCAGAGACAAGAATCACGAGCCGTATCTGGATGAAAACCTTTTATTTTCTGCACACAGGTCATACAACGCATTTCCGACCAGTGACTCACTATCTGTTACAACAATGCATTCTTCATAATTGGTGGCGTGTCTTTTTTTATCCCCAAGAAAAAAAAAGAGTTATAGGTAACAAACGTCCCTCAGAACAATGGGCTACAAGCCTAAGTGACGCGTGTGAGCTTCAGGTACTTCCTCTTTTTACGGGAAGATGCTC